TTTCCCCGTGGTTGACTGAAGGGCTTCCAGGGTGAATCAGTGGCACCCCTTTGTGGTGGAAGCAAAGACCTGCGGAGGTGGGCATTGTTGGTCCTATCTTGTGTGACCAAGGAGACTCCGGTGAATCCAGGGAGTCGGAGGGGCTGAGTATTTGGGCCCTTTGAGCCCCTAGCAGCCGAGTGTTAGCAGAGCCCCGGACCGCCCACCCCCACGTGACAACACACCACAACCCCACACACCACATGCACTACGACACCACCACTACCACAACTACACCACTACCACAACTACACCACTACCACAACTACACCACCACTACCACAACTACACTACCACTGCCACAACTACACCACCACTACCACAACTACACCACTACTACAACGCACTCCACCATTACACTACCACTACCACCACTACCACACCACCCCTACCACACCACCCCTACCACACCACTATTATCATCACTACCACACCACCCCTACCACACTACTATTACCTCCACTACCACACTACTATTACCACCACTACCACACCACTTACCACCACCACCACCACCACCACCACCCCCTCCCTCACCACTTACCACCACCACCACCACCCCTACCACACCACTATTACCATCACTACCACACCACCCCTACTACACCACTACTACAATCACTGGAGTGGCGTCACCCGTGATTCCCGCAGGGGTCAGTCCTTGGACCAATATTGTTTCTGATATATGTAAATGATCTCCCAGAGGGTATTGAATCGTTCCTCTCACTGTTTGCTGATGATGCAAAAATTATGAGGAGGATTGAAACTGAGGACGATAGTAGGAGGCTACAAGATGACCTAGACAGACTGAATGAATGGTCCAACAAACGGCTGTTGAAGTTCAACCCGAGTAAATGCAAAGTAATGAAACTAGGCGGTGGAAACAGGAGGCCAGATACAGGATACAGAATTGGAGATGAAGTACTTCATGAAACGGACAGAGAGAAAGGTCTAAGAGTTGATATCACACCAACCCTGTCTCCTGAAGCCCACATAAAAAGAGTTACGTCTGCGGCATATGCGAGGCTGGCTAACATCAGAACAGCCTTCAGGAACCTGTGTAGGGAATCATTCAGAACCTTGTATACCACATACGTAAGACCAATCCTGGAGTATGCGGCCCCAGCATGGAGCCCATACCTTGTTAAGCACAAGAGGAAGCTAACTTTCTGAGTTACGTGGAAAGGCTGCGAGAAATGCACCTCACGACACTGGAAGACAGAAGAGTAAGGGGAGACATGATCACTACCTACAAAATTCTCAGGGAAATTGACCGGGTAGATAAGAATAAACTGTTTAACATGGGTGATACGCGAACAAGGGGACACAGATGGAAACTGAGTACCCAAATGAGCCACAGAGACGTTAGAAAGAATTTTTTAGTGTCAGAGTAGTTAACAAGTGGATTGCACTAGGAAGTGATGTGGTGGAGGCTGACTCCATACACAGTTTCAAATGTAGATATGATAGAGCCCAGTAGGTTCAGGAACCTGTAAATCAGTTGACTGACTGTTGAGAAGCGGGACCAATGAGCCAGAGCTCAATCCCCGCAAGCACAAATAGGTGAGTACACACCGGTCCCCCCCCCCCCACACACACACCACCACTACCACCACTGATACGTACCACCACTACATGCACACACCCACTATCACCATTACCACACCACCACTACCACCACAGCTACACCACCACTACCACCAATACCCTTACCCCACACACCACTATTTCCAGACTACTACTACCACCACTACCACAATCACCACCACTACCACTACTACCACATCACAACCCCACACACTACATCCACACACACACACCACCACTACCAAACACACCACTACCTCACACACCACCACTACATCACACACGACCACTACCAAACACTCCACCACTACCTCACACACCACCACTACCAAACACACCACCACTACCTCACACACCACCACTACCTCACACACCACCACTACCTCACACACCACCACTACCTCACACACCACCACTACCACACACACCACCACTACCTCACACACCACCACTACCACACACACCACCACTACCAAACACACCACCACTACCTCACACACCACCACTACCTCACACACCACCACTACCTCACACACCACCACTACCTCACACACCACCACTACCACACACACCACCACTACCACACACACCACCACTACCACACACACCACCACTACCTCACACACCACCACTACCACACACACCACCACTACCTCACACACCACCACTACCACACACACCACCACTACCAAACACACCACCACTACCTCACACACCACCACTACCTCACACACCACCACTACCTCACACACCACCACTACCTCACACACCACCACTACCTCACACACCACCACTACCTCACACACCACCACTACCTCACACACCACCACTACCACACACACCACCACTACCTCACACACCACCACTAACACACACACCACCACTACCTCACACACCACCACTACCTCACACACCACCACTACCTCACACACCACCACTACCTCACACACCACCACTACCTCACACACCACCACTACCTCACACACCACCACTACCACACACACCACCACTACCACACACACCACCACTACTACACACACCACCACTACCTCACACACCACCACTACCACACACACCACCACTACCTCACACACACAACCACAAGTACCACACCAAAATTACCACACCACTACTACCACCACTACCACACACACCACAACTACCACCACTACCACACACACCACTACCACACACACCACTACCACACACACCACTACCACACACACCACAACTACCACCACTACCACACACACCACTACCACACACACCACTACCACTACTACACCACAACATCACCTCTTCCACAACTACCACACCACCACTTCCACACACCACTACCACTACTACACCACAACATCACCTCTTCCACAACTACCACACCACCACTTCCACACACCACTACTACTACACTACCAGTACCACAACTACCACACTACCACTACCATCACTAGCACTACCCCCACTTCCACACCACCCCCAATCACACCACCAATACTACAATCACTGCCACTCCACCACTACCACACACACCACTAGCACCAAACACACACCCCCTACCACACACACCACCAGTACCACTACTACCACACCACCACTGCCACACCACTACCAACACTACCACACCACTACCAACACTACCACACCACCACTACCACACTACCACCACTGCTACCACCCCTCTACTACCACACCACTACTACTACTACTACCACCACTACCACACCACCACTACCACACTACCACTACTGCTACCACCTCTCTACTACCACACCACCACTACCACACTACCACTACTGCTACCACCTCTCTACTACCACACCACACTACAACCAGTACCACACCACCACCATCACCACTTCCACACCACTACTACTACTACACCTCCATTACCACTACCACACCACCCTAACTACCACACCACCACTACCAGACCATAACTATTACACCACCACCACAAATACACCACTATTACCCCACCACTACTAAACCACAACTACCACTACCCCAATTTCCAGACCTCCACTACCACACCACTACCCGGAACTGAGAGGTATGAGCTACAAGGAAAGGATAAAGGAGCTGAACCTACCGTCCCTGGAAAAACAGAAGTAAGGGGAGACATGATAACCACCTACAAAATTCTCAGGGGAATTGACAGGGTTACCTTACCTTGACCTGGAGGTGCTTCCGGGGCTTAGCGTCCCCGCGGCCCGGTCGTCGACCAGGCCTCCTGGTTGCTGAACTGATCAACCAGGCTGTTTGACGCGGCTGCTCGCAGTCTGACGTATGAGTCACAGCCTGGTTGATCAGGTATCCTTTGGAGGTGCTTATCCAGTTCTCTCTTGAACACTGTGAGGGGTTTGCCAGTTATGTCCCTTATGTGGGGAAAAAGGGGCGGACAAAGACACTCTTCAGCATGGGTGGGACACGAACAAGGGGACACAGGTGGAAACTTAGTACGCAGATGAGCCACAGAGACGTTAGAAAGAATGTTTTCAGTGAGAGTAGTTAATAAATGGAATGCACTAGGAAGTGATGTGGTGGAGGCTGACTCCATACACAGTTTCAAATGTAAATATGATAGAGCCCAGTAGGCTCAGGAATCTGTACACCAGTTGATTGACAGTTGAGAGGCGGGACCAAAGAGACGAAGCTCAACCCCCGCAAGCACAACTAGGTGAGTACACACTACCACACCACCACTACCAAACTACCACTACCATACTACCACACCACTACCATACTACCCCACCACCACTCCACTACCATACTACCACACCAACACTACCATACTACCACACCACCACTACCACACCACCATACACACGACCATGCACACCACCACTACCACACCACTACCATACTACCACACCACCATACACACCACCACTACCACACAACAACACACTCGTCGCAGACAACAAGTCTACATTATCTCGTCCCCCACAACATTCTACAATACACTTGTCCCCCACAACATTCCACAACACCATATCCCCACCACTAATATAGCCATGCATCACCACTTACCTCACTATATTATCTACGTCATTGATACTCAACTTTCTTGCTTCCTGTTGCTTCTGAGTCCAGTATCATTTTTTTAGCAGTATCTGCTCCAAAATGTAGACGAGATTCATACTAACGCTTGTGTCTACAGTGGTGGTGCTGGTGTCGTGTGGGCAATGGTGGCTTTAGGCCAGGGAGAGTCAGGAAAAAGCCCACCTACATCATCTTTTAGATTAGGTGGTGAACCTGCGGAAGCACAAGAGGGAAAAGACTTCCCTGTTGCCTTAGATTATAAATTAACTCCTAAGTACACAAATACCTAAGATTGACCCCTCCCTCATAGCCGATGTCCAGCGTAACTCCAAATGGCACTAGGTGCCTCTGGTGGGCTTACACTTGCGGCACCAGGACATTCTGCGACAGGTAGAGGACCTGAAGGCCTAAGTGCACCAATTGGGGGGCGAGCCGGTAAGTTCGCCAACACAATCCTTGTTCGAAACAGGTTTAGTATTTGCAGCAGGACTGCTTTTCCTCCTATATCAACTCAGATAACTTAAGGTTGCAGAGCAGGCAGAAGCCGAAAAGTCCGCGTCCAAGAAAGCGGCAGCAGAAAAGGCAGCGGCAGAGAAGGCAGCAGGGGAATAAAGGGCCTCGGCAGAAAAGGCAGTGGCAGAAAAGAACGCGGCCGAGAAGGCGGAACAGGAATTAAGGGCCTCAGCAGAGAAGGCTTTGGCAGAAAAGAACGCGGCCGAGAAGGCGGAACAGGAATTAAGGGCCTCGGCAGAGAAGGCTTTGGCGGAAAAGGACGCGGCTGAGAAGGCGGAACAGGAATTAAGGGCCTCGGCAGAGAAAGCTTTGGCGGAAAAGGACGCGGCCGAGAAGGCGGAACAGGAAATAAGGGCCTCGGCAGAGAAAGCTTTGGCGGAAAAGGACGCGGCCGAGAAGGCGGAACAGGAATTAAGGGCCTCGGCAGAGAAAGCTTTGGCGGAAAAGGACGCGGCCGAGAAGGCGGAACAGGAAATAAGGGCCTCGGCAGAGAAGGCTTTGGCGGAAAAGGACGCGGCCGAGAAGGCGGAACAGGAATTAAGGGCCTCGGCAGAGAAAGCTTTGGCGGAAAAGGACGCGGCCGAGAAGGCGGAACAGGCATTAAGGGCCTCGGCAGAGAAGGCTTTGGCGGAAAAGGACGCGGCCGAGAAGGCGGAACAGGAATTAAGGGCCTCGGCAGAGAAAGCTTTGGCGGAAAAGGACGCGGCCGAGAAGGCGGAACAGGAATTAAGGGCCTCGGCAGAGAAAGCTTTGGCGGAAAAGGACGCGGCCGAGAAGGCGGAACAGGAATTAAGGGCCTCGGCAGAGAAAGCTTTGGCGGAAAAGGACGCGGCCGAGAAGGCGGAACAGGAATTAAGGGCCTCGGCAGAAAAGGCAGTGGCAGAAAAGAACGCGGCCGAGAAGGCGGAACAGGAATTATGGGCCTCGGCAGAGAAGGCTTTGGCGGAAAAGGACGCGGCCGAGAAGGCAGCAGGGGTCTTAAGGGCCTCGGCAGAAAAGGCAGTGGCTGAAAAGAACGCGGCCGAGAAGGCGGAACAGGAATTAAGGGCCTCGGCAGAGAAGGCTTTGGCGGAAAAGGACGCGGCCGAGAAGGCAGCAGGGGAACAAGGGCCTCGGCAGAAAAGGCAGTGGCAGAAAAGAACGCGGTCGAGAAGGCGGAACAGGAATTTTGGGCCTCGGCAGAGAAGGCTTTGGCGGAAAAGGACGCGGCCGAGAAGGCGGAACAGGAATTAAGGGCCTCGGCAGAGAAAGCTTTGGCGGAAAAGGACGCGGCCGAGAAGGCGGAACAGGAATTAAGGGCCTCGGCAGAGAAAGCTTTGGCGGAAAAGGACGCGGCCGAGAAGGCGGAACAGGAATTAAGGGCCTCGGCAGAGAAGGCTTTGGCGGAAAAGGACGCGGCCGAGAAGGCGGAACAGGAATTAAGGGCCTCGGCAGAGAAAGCTTTGGCGGAAAAGAACGCGGCCGAGAAGGCGGAACAGGAATTAAGGGCCTCGGCAGAGAAAGCTTTGGCGGAAAAGGACGCGGCCGAGAAGGCGGAACAGGAATTAAGGGCCTCGGCAGAAAAGGCAGTGGCAGAAAAGAACGCGGCCGAGAAGGCGGAACAGGAATTTTGGGCCTCGGCAGAGAAGGCTTTGGCGGAAAAGGACGCGGCCGAGAAGGCAGCAGGGGTCTTAAGGGCCTCGGCAGAAAAGGCAGTGGCAGAAAAGAACGCGGCCGAGAAGGCGGAACAGGAATTTTGGGCCTCGGCAGAGAAGGCTTTGGCGGAAAAGGACGCGGCCGAGAAGGCAGCAGGGGGATTAAGGGCCTCGGCAGAAAAGGCAGTGGCAGAAAAGAACGCGGCCGAGAAGGCGGAACAGGAATTTTGGGCCTCGGCAGAGAAGGCTTTGGCGGAAAAGGACGCGGCCGAGAAGGCGGAACAGGAATTAAGGGCCTCGGCAGAGAAAGCTTTGGCGGAAAAGGACGCGGCCGAGAAGGCGGAACAGGAATTAAGGGCCTCGGCAGAGAAAGCTTTGGCGGAAAAGGACGCGGCCGAGAAGGCGGAGCAGGAATTAAGGGCCTCGGCAGAGAAAGCTTTGGCGGAAAAGGACGCGGCCGAGAAGGCGGAACAGGAATTAAGGGCCTCGGCAGAGAAAGCTTTGGCGGAAAAGGACGCGGCCGAGAAGGCGGAACAGGAATTAAGGGCCTCGGCAGAGAAAGCTTTGGCGGAAAAGGACGCGGCCGAGAAGGCGGAACAGGAATTAAGGGCCTCGGCAGAGAAGGCTTTGGCGGAAAAGGACGCGGCCGAGAAGGCGGAACAGGAATTAAGGGCCTCGGCAGAGAAAGCTTTGGCGGAAAAGGACGCGGCCGAGAAGGCGGAACAGGAATTAAGGGCCTCGGCAGAGAAAGCTTTGGCGGAAAAGGACGCGGCCGAGAAGGCGGAACAGGAATTAAGGGCCTCGGCAGAGAAGGCTTTGGCGGAAAAGGACGCGGCCGAGAAGGCGGAACAGGAATTAAGGGCCTCGGCAGAGAAGGCTTTGGCGGAAAAGGACGCGGCCGAGAAGGCGGAACAGGAATTAAGGGCCTCGGCAGAGAAAGCTTTGGCGGAAAAGGACGCGGCCGAGAAGGCAGCAGAGGAATTAAGGGCCTCGGCAGAAAAGGCAGTGGCAGAAAAGAACGCGGCCGAGAAGGCGGAACAGGAATTTTGGGCCTCGGCAGAGAAGGCTTTGGCGGAAAAGGACGCGGCCGAGAAGGCAGCAGGGGTCTTAAGGGCCTCGGCAGAAAAGGCAGTGGCAGAAAAGAACGCGGCCGAGAAGGCGGAACAGGAATTTTGGGCCTCGGCAGAGAAGGCTTTGGCGGAAAAGGACGCGGCCGAGAAGGCAGCAGGGGGATTAAGGGCCTCGGCAGAAAAGGCAGTGGCAGAAAAGAACGCGGCCGAGAAGGCGGAACAGGAATTTTGGGCCTCGGCAGAGAAGGCTTTGGCGGAAAAGGACGCGGCCGAGAAGGCGGAACAGGAATTAAGGGCCTCGGCAGAGAAAGCTTTGGCGGAAAAGGACGCGGCCGAGAAGGCGGAACAGGAATTAAGGGCCTCGGCAGAGAAAGCTTTGGCGGAAAAGGACGCGGCCGAGAAGGCGGAACAGGAATTAAGGGCCTCGGCAGAGAAAGCTTTGGCGGAAAAGGACGCGGCCGAGAAGGCGGAACAGGAATTAAGGGCCTCGGCAGAGAAAGCTTTGGCGGAAAAGGACGCGGCCGAGAAGGCGGAGCAGGAATTAAGGGCCTCGGCAGAGAAAGCTTTGGCGGAAAAGGACGCGGCCGAGAAGGCGGAACAGGAATTAAGGGCCTCGGCAGAGAAAGCTTTGGCGGAAAAGGACGCGGCCGAGAAGGCGGAGCAGGAATTAAGGGCCTCGGCAGAGAAAGCTTTGGCGGAAAAGGACGCGGCCGAGAAGGCGGAACAGGAATTAAGGGCCTCGGCAGAGAAGGCTTTGGCGGAAAAGGACGCGGCCGAGAAGGCGGAACAGGAATTAAGGGCCTCGGCAGAGAAGGCTTTGGCGGAAAAGGACGCGGCCGAGAAGGCGGAACAGGAATTAAGGGCCTCGGCAGAGAAAGCTTTGGCGGAAAAGGACGCGGCCGAGAAGGCGGAACAGGAATTTTGGGCCTCGGCAGAGAAGGCTTTGGCGGAAAAGGACGCGGCCGAGAAGGCAGCAGGGGTCTTAAGGGCCTCGGCAGAAAAGGCAGTGGCAGAAAAGAACGCGGCCGAGAAGGCGGAACAGGAATTTTGGGCCTCGGCAGAGAAGGCTTTGGCGGAAAAGGACGCGGCCGAGAAGGCAGCAGGGGGATTAAGGGCCTCGGCAGAAAAGGCAGTGGCAGAAAAGAACGCGGCCGAGAAAGCGGAACAGGAATTTTGGGCCTCGGCAGAGAAGGCTTTGGTGGAAAAGGACGCGGCCGAGATGGCAGCAGGGGTCTTAAGGGCCTCGGCAGAAAAGGCAGTGGCAGAAAAGAACGCGGCCGAGAAGGCGGAACAGGAATTTTGGGCCTCGGCAAAGAAGGCTTTGGCGGAAAAGGACGCGGCCGAGAAGGCGGAACAGGAATTAAGGGCCTCGGCAGAGAAAGCTTTGGCGGAAAAGGACGCGGCCGAGAAGGCGGAACAGGAATTAAGGGCCTCGGCAGAGAAAGCTTTGGCGGAAAAGGACGCGGCCGAGAAGGCGGAACAGGAATTAAGGGCCTCGGCAGAGAAAGCTTTGGCGGAAAAGGACGCGGCCGAGAAGGCGGAGCAGGAATTAAGGGCCTCGGCAGAGAAAGCTTTGGCGGAAAAGGACGCGGCCGAGAAGGCGGAACAGGAATTAAGGGCCTCGGCAGAGAAGGCTTTGGCGGAAAAGGACGCGGCCGAGAAGGCGGAACAGGAATTAAGGGCCTCGGCAGAGAAGGCTTTGGCGGAAAAGGACGCGGCCGAGAAGGCGGAACAGGAATTAAGGGCCTCGGCAGAGAAAGCTTTGGCGGAAAAGGACGCGGCCGAGAAGGCGGAACAGGAATTTTGGGCCTCGGCAGAGAAGGCTTTGGCGGAAAAGGACGCGGCCGAGAAGGCAGCAGGGGTCTTAAGGGCCTCGGCAGAAAAGGCAGTGGCAGAAAAGAACGCGGCCGAGAAGGCGGAACAGGAATTTTGGGCCTCGGCAGAGAAGGCTTTGGCGGAAAAGGACGCGGCCGAGAAGGCAGCAGGGGGATTAAGGGCCTCGGCAGAAAAGGCAGTGGCAGAAAAGAACGCGGCCGAGAAAGCGGAACAGGAATTTTGGGCCTCGGCAGAGAAGGCTTTGGTGGAAAAGGACGCGGCCGAGATGGCAGCAGGGGTCTTAAGGGCCTCGGCAGAAAAGGCAGTGGCAGAAAAGAACGCGGCCGAGAAGGCGGAACAGGAATTTTGGGCCTCGGCAAAGAAGGCTTTGGCGGAAAAGGACGCGGCCGAGAAGGCGGAACAGGAATTAAGGGCCTCGGCAGAGAAAGCTTTGGCGGAAAAGGACGCGGCCGAGAAGGCGGAACAGGAATTAAGGGCCTCGGCAGAGAAAGCTTTGGCGGAAAAGGACGCGGCCGAGAAGGCGGAACAGGAATTAAGGGCCTCGGCAGAGAAAGCTTTGGCGGAAAAGGACGCGGCCGAGAAGGCAGCAGGGGTCTTAAGGGCCTCGGCAGAAAAGGCAGTGGCAGAAAAGAACGCGGCCGAGAAGGCGGAACAGGAATTTTGGGCCTCGGCAGAGAAGGCTTTGGCGGAAAAGGACGCGGCCGAGAAGGCAGCAGGGGGATTAAGGGCCTCGGCAGAAAAGGCAGTGGCAGAAAAGAACGCGGCCGAGAAAGCGGAACAGGAATTTTGGGCCTCGGCAGAGAAGGCTTTGGTGGAAAAGGACGCGGCCGAGATGGCAGCAGGGGTCTTAAGGGCCTCGGCAGAAAAGGCAGTGGCAGAAAAGAACGCGGCCGAGAAGGCGGAACAGGAATTTTGGGCCTCGGCAAAGAAGGCTTTGGCGGAAAAGGACGCGGCCGAGAAGGCGGAACAGGAATTAAGGGCCTCGGCAGAGAAAGCTTTGGCGGAAAAGGACGCGGCCGAGAAGGCGGAACAGGAATTAAGGGCCTCGGCAGAGAAAGCTTTGGCGGAAAAGGACGCGGCCGAGAAGGCGGAACAGGAATTAAGGGCCTCGGCAGAGAAAGCTTTGGCGGAAAAGGACGCGGCCGAGAAGGCGGAGCAGGAATTAAGGGCCTCGGCAGAGAAAGCTTTGGCGGAAAAGGACGCGGCCGAGAAGGCGGAACAGGAATTAAGGGCCTCGGCAGAGAAGGCTTTGGCGGAAAAGGACGCGGCCGAGAAGGCGGAACAGGAATTAAGGGCCTCGGCAGAGAAGGCTTTGGCGGAAAAGGACGCGGCCGAGAAGGCGGAACAGGAATTAAGGGCCTCGGCAGAGAAAGCTTTGGCGGAAAAAGACGCGGCCGAGAAGGCAGCAGGGAAATTAAGGGCCTCCGCAGAAAAGGCAGTGGCAGAAAAGAACGCGGCCGAGAAGGCGGAACAGGAATTTTGGGCCTCGGCAGAGAAGGCTTTGGCGGAAAAGGACGCGGCCGAGAAGGCAGCAGGGGTCTTAAGGGCCTCGGCAGAAAAGGCAGTGGCAGAAAAGAACGCGGCCGAGAAGGCGGAACAGGAATTTTGGGCCTCGGCAGAGAAGGCTTTGGCGGAAAAGGACGCGGCCGAGAAGGCAGCAGGGGTCTTAAGGGCCTCGGCAGAAAAGGCAGTGGCAGAAAAGAACGCGGCCGAGAAGGCGGAACAGGAATTTTGGGCCTCGGCAGAGAAGGCTTTGGCGGAAAAGGACGCGGCCGAGAAGGGGGCAGGTGAATTTAGGGCCTCGGCAGAGAAGTTAGTGGTGGAAAAGGCCGCGGCGGAGAATAGTTTCTAAAATAGAATAGGTTCTAAAATAGTTTCCGAAAACTTTTTGTTTCCTCTAGAATACAGATCAAGGATCATTGGCGCACGTGGATCAAAAATTAAATAATTGGAGGGTTAGTTTAGGGTTTTGATTAAGTTGAGGAGTGATGTCGGAGAGTCAAGTAATTTAGGAACATAATCAACCACAGGCATTATGTTCCTGGAGGGTGAGAAAGATAATGTGGACGCCTTAAAAAAGGAAATTTAAAATTTAATTACAGGGTGGAAGCAAAATGACTTGAGGCAAGAAAGACCTTTTCTTTATCAAAGACAACAGGACTTAGAAATTGTGCATTAACAATTATTTGTTCCCAACATATTTTATAAACGTTTATTTGGCCCCCAAGGCGCAACAATAATGAAATTTGAACAAAAATATGGAGTAAAGATTGATATAATGAAAAATGAAAATAATTAAATTGTGATCTCAGGCAAGTAAAGTAGTGTAGAGAGCTGTAAGGCCGAAATATAAAAGTTTCTCTTTGAGATATGACCGCCGCCATGACTGATGGATGCCTATTACTGTTACCCACTTGAGCTGGACGGTAGAGGGGCGGTCTCGTGTCATGCAAGTCTGCATTTAATTCCCGACTGTCACAGTGGTGGGGCACCATTCCTACCCACGCCCCCCCTGTCCTATCCCAAGTTCTTACCCTGACCCCTTTCAAGTGCTTTATAGGCGTATAGTTCCTCTTCCCTTGATTGAAGTGAAAAATGTGTTCCATTCGACGCAACAGGTATGGTGTAGTCATTACATGTTTTTTTGGAGACAACAGGAGTGGTGGTTTCACTACGTGTTCTGTTGAGCTATTGAGACAACAGGAGTGGGGGGTTATTATGATGTTGATGTTCGTCATCCTTCCTTATGAACAAACCAACCCAAAATTCCAAAGAGTGCTTATTTTTCATTAAATCACCCTTCACCAACATATTTAGGGGATGCGGCTCCAACATAATTCTCGTTGTCATGTGCACATACCCACTTTAGCTGCCAGGACTCCTCACTCTCTCCTTGGTTGGTATGATCTCCTCAATCCCCTTTTCTGAATTATTATTCTGTACTACCCTGTCCACAGCTATGCTTCTCTCATTTCAAGCGCTCATTTCTGCTTTCTGGGAAGCCTCACTAGGACAAGTGTAAACACGGGTAAATTATATACATTTACTATACAGAAAACATGTACATCACACATACAAGAATAATATGTCTCCAACACTCTACGATATTATAGTCAGGTTGCGATCCGATACCATCAGGACTATCAGTTACTTATACCAAGTAGTAGCCCAACTCCTGGCTTGCCACTTACGCTACCTATCCCGTGGCCTGGTCTTACTGATGTTATCAGCAGTGATACGTTTTTGTTGTCAGAGAGAGCTAGTGAGAATTTGGTGGTGGTGGTCCTTACAATGTTGTCTAGGGAGTATGAGGAGTAAGGGAAACAGCCTGGTACACAAGTCACAAATTTATACGTACAAGTCACACAGGATTACATTTAACAAGGCGTTTTCCTCAAAACATAAGATCACTATGTATTATAAACTCAAGTGGCTCTGACCACCCCATGGCTCACTGTCCCATTCCTGGTGTCATGCACCCAGCCACAAACAGCTCTCATCCAACGACATATTTTTGCCTCTAGGAAACCTGGACTCTTATAAAACCTCTCCAACTTCTGTAATATTACTCTACCCAATCTTGCAACCCTGGATATAGAGAAGGATAGGCTGATCTGACTGAACGGCCGGAGAAAACCCCTCAAATAGCAGGAACGGTCGGCAGCGATACACCTCCCCCCTTCAGTCAAGATGGCGTCCACCTCTTGCATCATCGCCCCTTAATACTCTATTCTCTACGTATGCTATCAAACACATTAATGATTTTATTTACTATATTCCCCCATGCATACTTTTTTATAGAGTCCATTTTTCCCTTACATAGTTACGCTATTCAAGTTCAAATTATTTCTGATGATCTCCAGCTGAGAAGGCACTACTTTACTGGGCGGAGTAATAATGATGACTCGCGGCCTCTCTGATCTCAGCTAGGGATTTATATTAATATACACTCTCCCTGTGTCCACCAACATTTTCAACCGAAACCAACCTCCACAGGAGGTAAGGTTCGTAACACCCCTTCTAAGCCATGGAGAAAAAAAAAGGGAAATTCTTAAAGGAATTTCACTTTTTTTTTTAACATAAAATAAACACCTCAAACAGATGTCATAGTAATTGTAAAGAAACAGTAAATGATATATAATAAACACTAGATACACAAGAATATATACATCTCTGAGCAATAGTACAACCCTAAGTCACCCCAGGTTTTGGCAATCTAGAAAGTGCATCTGCTACTACATTTAATTTTCCTGGAATATATTTGATGACCAGATTGTACTCTTGCAGCAATAAAGACCACCTAAATATTCTCTGGTTGGAATTCTTCATGCTAGCAATAAATGTTAAGGGGTTGTGGTCAATAAACACTTCAACAGTATTGGCTGATGTGGGAACCGACCTGTGAGATTTATATTTGTTTAATTTATATGAATTTATATATACGTTAATTTATATACTTCGATAGCAATTTGTATAATGTTAAGTGGACTGTATTTCTGCAATAATCTCATAATCTCACAAATCGATCCTCTACACATTAGGGGGGCTATATTTATATATATGCAGCCAATCAAACTACAGTATTAACTACATACATTGAAGTGGTTCCTTATCTTATAGTACAGCAGGTTAGTCCACCAGGTATAACTAGGGTGTAGACACCAAATTATCCTCTTTGAGGTAGCTTCCATCACCCAGTAACTGGTGCACAAATCTTGCTCCTCGTCTTGACCTGTCAAAAGGGCGCTAGCTGTAAAGCCAGATACCTATATATGACAAGTTATATCAGAGAAAACTGTACATGGAACAATAAAGACCTGGCTTAATTACCTTTAGTATGAGGCGATTTCGCGTTCTAACCGGCTAACCCTACCCAATGACATTAATGGCCACTAATGATAGATAATGGGTTTCGGAAAGAACACTTAACTTGAATTTGTAGACAGCGTGTTGATAATGGTACACCTTTAGTTTCCATAACACTACGTCCAAGTAAATTTAACAGGAGCCGAATATGCTCCCGTGTGAGCCTCTGGTCTCAGTATAAACAATGGCTGCCCTCCTTCCTCACTCTGACGCCTGGCTTACATTGTCCACATGTCAGAAAGTGATAGAAGGGTCACATTTACTCTACTTTAATATTGATAATTAAGTTAATTTATATGAGATGTTTTATGATGGTAAAGTCCAAAGACTAATGTATTTAAGAATAATTCCCAGCAGAATAGCTGGTGAATTATAATAGTATGTGGTGATGATATCCCGTTTTCTATAGACGGTAATTCCACTACAAGTTACGTTTTCTATGGGTAACTTGTTTATACAACACAGCTATTATCTGTATGATATATTAAATGGTGTCGGATTTTCCGACATAATTCCCCAGGGGCTGCTCACGGGTCGAAGTCCTCTTTAGAACAGACGAACACCGATACTCCTCCTTCAAATTATAGTTAGTAATCACACATTTGTGCGTCTGTTCATACAGGACGGATGTCCCGTACTAGAGTTGCAGGGGTTAGAAGTCTAATGCGATTTCATTTCCCTGTCAACTCTTGAAAGGCTAATATTCAAGCCTTATTACATATTATTTAACCCAGAAGACTGGATGTGATCAAGTACTACAGTCAAGTATGATTCAGGGACTGCAGTGAGATCAGTGACATTAGATATAACTTGAAGTTTCTTCAGGTAACTGGTCACTGATATATAAACACTGAGGCCCATGGAATACATCTTGATTAAATAATAAATGTATCAAATCAGTCATCAGATTTATTAGGGTTTAATTTAGTTAATTGATTCAGAAGATTGAATAGCTCATCATTAAAGTAAAGTATGGTTCTGAGACTGCAGTGGGTTCAGTGACATTGGTCGCAGTGACTTGTAGCTGTTTTAGGCTACTGTTCACTGATTTGCCACTGAGGCCTCATGAACTCATCTCCAGCTTTAAATGATGATACTAACATCAACCTCTGTTACTATAGTCAGCTGTAATCTCCTTAGTATAATGCTACTGGAGAAATATAATCAGCTGACAAATTTAGTTTCTATTGGTATTGTTTATCTGCAGGCATAGGTCTCCTCAGGCTTGATACTGGGCCTGAGAGTAATTTACCTCCTGCAGAGTTTAACATGGTTATACCCTGATATTTAGTAGGGCTACCGTTGAATTGATGGTAGTAGTCTGTCCCCACAAGGAGAGCTATTTGGCATTTGATTTGCTCAAATTTACCTGCAGCTGCTTGATAATAGGTTTCCAGGTCAGCATAATCAACTTGAGATTGTTGCGACAAATCTTCACATTTCTTGATCTGTCTTGTTAAGTGGCCTTTAAGACCTGCAAGGGTTCTTTTCATTCTCCCTGCATTATCCATACTGGCTCGTTGGTAAAGCCTTGTGGGGCTTGTACTTGGGCTGCTCATAATACTGAACAAGCACTGATGGTAGCCTAGGGTCAAATTCTGCACTCACTAGGCAATAATCCTACCTCTGCTAGAGGTTAGCACTTAAAATTAATACACATTATATATATACAATCATACACACTAATGATTTGAGTGATAAACCAGTGTCACTGGAAGTACCTTTAGGTTAGCTCTTCTATATCACCCTAGGATGGTAGAGACACTAATTAATCACTCAAAGGTGTAATGATCATAAGTAAATTATTATATATACACAACTCAACTCGAGTTGATAAAAATTACACCCAAAATAGGGTCTGCACCATTCATTAATGGTGTTAGGTTATTGAATATAGTACAACTGACTATGGTAATAATGGGACTAGGATGAGCAATAATAGTTCAACTAGTCATATCCTACCCTGTTGTGGGTTGGCAATTAGTAAATATTATACTGTGATCACTAGTGCAATATATATTAAATAATTCTCTATTTGGAGAAATAATATACACAATTATTGATAATAGCCTCTTAATTAGCCTCTATGAAACTTCTAATATTATCAAGAAGTATTAAATATTATTAGTGACCTCGCGAAATAAAGTCCACAAAATTCGTGGATAATCTCTCGCGAAATGTAACACCACGAAATCCGTGAACAATCTTGCGAGGACACAGCCACTAATTTGGCTGGCTTCTATATTAGCGCTGTCATTTCACGAAATAACACGCCACCAAATATCTGTGGGTGTGCATGAAACCGCTGACGAAGCTGAACTCGGCTGAGGGGGGCTCCTGAGCTCCCTCGAGGCTACGCTGCCGTCTTGACTGCTGGCTTTGTTTAAATAACACTGCACTAGTATATTTAATGAATCCACTGGTTAACTGGTTCATCCGGTACTAAGATGACCAAATGTAGGTTCAAAGGACCGAATATTCCGGTTCCGAAGGTCCAAATAATGTGGGAACCGACCTGTGAGATTTATATTTGTTTAATTGATATGAATTTATATTTACGTTAATTTATATACTTCGATAGCAATTTGTATAATGTTAAGTGGACTGTATTTCTGCAATAATCTCATAATCTCACAAATCGATCCTCTACACATTAGGGGGGTTATATTTATATATATGCAGCCAATCAAACTACAG